CTTCCCCAGTCCCTCAGCCCTGCTGCTGTGCCCCACCTCATGATAAGAATTCCCGTCAAGGCAAGTTTGCAAGTTAGAGATGTTCACTGCCAATTTGTTACAACTGTGAGCCTCATGCACCACCAAGTTCCTGCACTGATTCACTCCTGTTCTCCATTCACAGCCACAATGCACTTTACAAGCAACTTACCACCACCTAGTGAAAGTAAAGGTCCTGTTTTGGTAACAAAGCAAAAATGCTTGAAATTTCTGTTCTGAAGTAAGATTCTTGAGGACAGAATCTCATTCATTTGAAAAAATTATTCAGAAGTCTAAGAAACACAAAAGTGGGTTTTGCAAATTTTGGGCTAACTTGTCTATGACTTGAATGCATGCAACTAGCAAGATCAGTTTATTACCTTTATTTTTCCTCAGACCTTGATTCTAGCATAGAACAGTTAGCTCCTGCCACCTTGTGGGACTTCACGGATTTCCCTGAAAGTTTGTATCAGTAAGCTAGTGAGTTAAAACAAATAAACATTCAAGATTTACTTTCCTTGTGATTCACCCCGGTGAATGTTAAAATAAGAGAGAAATATTTATGGAGAGGGTATGCCATTTTGAATATTTTCTAGTTCATTATCCCTAGCATTGTTTATATAGTTGAATTGCTGTATTTCACAGTCTTATGGAGGGTGTTTTAAATATTTAAATACCTGTCAAGAATCCTAAGTTTTGGAAGCTGATGTATCTAAGTTTAAAATAACACTCTGATCAAATACTTGTCACTCCTAGTAAATTTCACATACTTGACACAGATTCTACACAGAAGTAATACAAATTTAGACTAAAAATCTTTGCAGTCAGGTGCAGTTTTGTAACCAAATACTAATCTCAGTCTCATAAGGAATTATGCATATGTTTAACTTTTAATATTGTGATAACATGCCTAGTTCTCACAAAAGATCTGATTCCATGTGTTTACTTTTTAATTGTAATTTTATATCTTACGTTTTTCCTCTCCTCAACCCCCTTCACTTCTACTATACGTGGCCGACTTAATGAATGAGTGAAGTTCTCCAAAGAAGAATAAGGCCATTGGAATGGAAAAACTTTACCACCACAGTAACAAGACAGTAAAGATGCCTGAATCTTCCTCCTTGTGTCTTACATGTTGTCTGCTACCCCTCAGACAGGTAACTCATCATACCTACTTCATGGAGGTGGAAAAGACAAGAGCAGCAGCAATCAGTGAGAAGGAATGAGGTCCTCTTTATTTAAGCAAAAACCTCTGTTGCTTCAAATCTCAAAAATGAAAAAGCAAAGAGGACTGAAGATGATGTGACTCCATGAACCTGATCAACAGCCTCAATGAAACTACTGCTTTCTATTCTTGGTGCCAAATGATTTGTTACAGGTGCCCAGAAAGCAAGAACAGTTAGTGAGGAGCATTTCTTCCCCCCTCAACATCCCACAACTGCTTCAGTGAACTTGCTGGAGATCTACTGCACTGCATACTTGATGCCAACTGTATGAAACTTAACTCTTTGGAACTTCCTCCTGCTAAAGGAAAAACTGCCAGACTCAAAACAGGAACAAATCACCTCTAGTAAAGGCCCTAGTAGATGATAAATAAACCCAAGAACAACAATTACAGATTCACAGCCAAAGGAAATACATCGTGAATGTCTTTTTCAATGCACAAACAAATTGAATTTTTGCTCAAGACTGAAACAATGACAATGTCAGGCTATGAATCAAGTTGGCACAGTGCATCTGAGGGACAGAAACTACATGTTCTTAAATAAAAAGTTTCATGATCTCACAAGCTTCCCTGGTAACTTCACAAGGGAGGTTGTCTCTGACAGCCATCATATTCCCCCTCACAAAACTCCTTATCACCACCTACATATTCATACAGTCCTAATAGGCCACACAATTAACTTACAAGGCAAAGTTCAGGTATCCATGACAATCTCTGACCACACCTCAGCTCCAGTACTGAGAATCTCTCCCAGACTGAGGTGTGTCTGTGTCCTGACTGTCTGGAAGATACCAAAATGCTCCTCACAGCTGTCCTGACCCATCCCAATCTCCGCTACAGGAAAGCCACAAAGAAAAAGTAGCAAGGAGCTCTAGAAGAGAGTCATCAACCTGGATGTTCAGGGAATCAGAACTGTAAGGCACACTCTGCCTATCCCAACACAGCCAGCACCTTGCAAGGACAGGACATGCCAGGTACCACTATTCTCTTACCTCCCCCTAAGTATTAGGAATACACACACTTCCTTATCCAGAGCTATTTGGTTCAGACTTTTCCCTGCTACAGATCACCTGTAATTGCAGACATGTATCTAAGGGCCACCTTCAGTCCTTGGCTACAGGAAAAAAGAAATAGCATGCTCTAGCAACAGAATATATCAAATCCAATACTCACTGCAGGTCTCAATAACACCATAAAGCACAAGAAGAAAATACTAGGATACTACATAAAACTCCCCTGTGATGCAAGTGAATCATATCTAGCCATATCCTCTTATTTTCATTTTGTCTCTCTACTAATCCTACATTCTGCAGTGTTTCTGCTTGCCTACATGCACATAGCGGTCTAACGGCAGTACCAGGGAGCCAAGCTAGTACCTTATTCTTCAGGATACTTTGAAACCAGTGGAAGTACAAACACACTTTTCATACCCTAAGTAGACAACCCCTTCTTGGTAAGTGTGACGTAGTTGGACCTGAAAAAACAGAACTCCCAAGGAGCAGCAGAATGAAAAATACCTGATGATTTTCAGTTCTCACCGTTGTCCAGCAACCAAAACTGACCAGCATTAACTTTGCCTAAAGTTGTGAGTTCTTCAAGGAGACAGAAACATCTGGTCCAGGTCAAGGAAGTGTCACGACATGGCCTGAGTATGGTTCCCATCTGAAACCTACTCCCTAAGTGCCAGGGTAAGATTTGTTTTACTTTTTCTCAGAATATTTATTTTTCTACAAAAACTTTATTTGACTTTTGCAAACTTTTATTGAGGGAACTTTCCAAGAAATTACACAAATTGATTATTGTATTCATGTATTAACTGTAGGAAGAAGTATTTAAAAACAAACAAAAACCCCAAAACAAAATAAATATTATTGGGCCATTTACTCCTTCTGTTTTTTATTTTATCTATATTCTTATTGACCTCCTTTCACTGTCACCTGTTTAGCCTTACATTTTTAGGAGAAAAGATGAAAGTTCTGAATGTCTTATTTCTTGAGAAACACCTCTAAGAAATCACTCCGTTCGCAGAATTTACAAACTTCTGTATGTAACCAGCAGTATCAGATTTCCAAGAGAAACCTCCCTGCTTCATGAACCAGAATACACAATCAGATCCATCTTCACCATTGTTTCATTGATGCCAAGCCACAACAGCTTACCCAGAACTGTGCACGTGCCCAAGGATCTGTGCCAAAAAGGCCCCAGAGCAGGATCAGGTCCCTGTAAGATTAGCTGCATGTAGGGTTTCAATCCTGCAACTGCAATAGCTCAGGGAGACTGTGTGACAGGGGCATTGCAGGACCGGGCACTAAAATAATCAAGTATATAAAGATCTTTGTCCTCTGCACAACTGAAGCACAATTCTTAAAAATGAACTGAACAAAAAACTTTTGTATTTGTGAAATAAAAATCAATTCTTTGGGTGACAAGCAGGACCAGCATTCTTCAGGCCAAGCTCCTTAAAAATCTATAGGCCATTTTCCTATTTTTTTGTTTTCTTGAGGTTAGTTTAGAATTTGGTTTTTGGTTGTTTTGTTCTTCCTTTAGGATATTTTTATTTTAGCAATTCTTTCTCATCTCCCTCAGATGAAAACCCTACAGAGCCCCTGTCTTAAAGATATAAGCCCAACACAGGAAAAACTCAGTCCTAAGGATGCAAGTTTGTCAGCTTTTAAAGAAGGGTCAGCAGATAGTGCTGACTGGAACTGTAGAGCAAGGATGGGGGATAACTTCCTTAGGATCTACAGATTTTTACCTATTATCTTCTTAGTTTCTTATAATTTTATTTCACAGTACACCACACAGATGGGTGATTTAAAATCAGAAGGTGAACAAGATATTAAAGAGTTTTCTGTGAAATCAAGTTCTGGAATGCTCAAGACTGTGTACCAGAGAAAGCAGCACATGTTTAAAACCCTAGGTTGACACAAAAAGTCCACAGTTCTGGACTGTACTAGCCTGAGAAATGAAAGCACAAGATGCATGGATTCTCAGTCTAATCTGCTTTGAAAGATAGTCATTAGAATTCCTCGTTACTGATCTAGTACAAAACTACATGTTCAAACTTGGGACCTGAACTACAAAGTACCCCACAAAACCCCACACTGCCACAATGCCAACCTCCTTCCAGGCTAACCCTTAGAGCAAGAAGCTCTGGATAGAAAGCTGAACTGAGCACACTGAAATACATAGGTACAGACCAAGCCTGACTTACAAAGTCCTTCTGAGCAACAGGACTTTTTATCTTGTTCTTGGAACAAGCATAAAAATGTTTCTATCACCTTCACACATCTCAGGCCACATACAAAACATGCCCATGCATCCTTGCAAAAGTCACTTTCAGATAATTAGGAAGAATAGAGGGCAATATTCACACAGCATCGAGTTAAGAAGAGACTCTGGGTTGGAAGAACAAAACCCCAGGCCCAAAAGCTCTGACCTGCAAGGTTATTTTTTCCATCATGCAGCACAAGCTCTTAAATGTAGATGAAGAATTCCGAATTGAACCTGGATGTTAACACACTTCACAAGTATGTAAGTTCACAATTACTTAACCAGTGAGCCTGAAGTCAATAGACAAGAGCTCATCATATTTTTTTTTCACCTACCAATATGGAGAAAGTAATGTGCACATACACAAAGCAGATGCTTTAGTAACAAAGAGGTAGCTGGTGTAGTAACTTTAACAGTCATGTAGAAACTGCCAGGAAGTTCACAAATTCTGTACTTTATTCTGCCACCAGTTTTCTGGTCTTACCTGAACATCCCTGGGTCTACTCTGCAATCTGCAAAACGGGGGCAGGTAGCACTGGTTCTGAAATATTTGTAAAATGTAGTTAGTTGATGCCTGTAAAAGTACACAACAGAAGAGCAAAGCATTATTACACCCTAACAATAGGTTGTTTAACAAAATATGTAATATATAAATGACAACAACACCTGTGTTCTACAGTACACACATAAACTTTGTTTATGTATCTGTTTAGAAAGTGAATTGTTTTGACTCCATTAGAACAAAATTCTAATAGTCAATCTGAAGTCCATCTCTCCAGAGAAAGAAGCAGGCATCTTTTTCTAGATCTTCATAAACAACCAAAACAGTGTAAAATTTTCCCCAAGTATTACATCACCACCACAATTAATGTAACTGCCACTTTACCCTATGATAGGGCCAACCCATAGTAAAAAAAACCAAAACCAAAAACAAAACACAACAAAACCCCCACAAATAATCTGGACTTTTCTCGACTTTCTGCCCTGCTACTCACTACTAAATTTTTCTTTCAGACTGCACAACACTTTACAAAGAAAGAAGCCATCACTATCCCAAGTTTGCAAATGAAGAAACAGAGCAAGAAAGAGGCAGCAATCTACCCAAACGCACGAAGCAAGTTAATGGCAAAAACTTCAGCACTAGCCAGGGGGTTTGTTTTTTTTTTTACCTTGTTCCATATGGCACAATTTTCACCCTTTGCCAAAATCCTTGAAGGAAGCACTAACCTTTCATTTGGTCATTAAAATATAACTGCAAACTTGGAATGTATTTTCCTTCATTCCTCTGAATATATTTGAGCCTAAATAGTAAATTGTACTAGATAGAGCACTGTGTGTGCCCCAGGTCATATTTCAAGAAGTTCACTCCTTGCACCATTAAAGTATAATTTTTTTTTTGCATTATTCTATGAATTTGTCTACCTTAGAAAATAGTCTTGCTTCAGCTACACTAGAAGACAGTTGGACCAAGTACTGCAGCACCAGGACACAAGTCTATACACAGCAAGTGATTTTTTTGTGTGTGTGCACTTCACTTCTACTCCAATTATAAGAGCATACCTTGAAAGGCTAAAAAGTAAACTTACCTAAATGCACACACATCTTTGTGAAAAGGATTTTACGGCCTTATTTGGTCTCCACAGTTGAAAAGGTTGCAGTGGCACACTGTACCTTTACTCTAAGGTAACCACATACTTTTAGCTACATTTGTAAAACAGGAAAATTCACACCAATCAGTAGTATCATTATACAGGTAAAGTACAGATGATCCTCAATGAGATTCATGAAGTCAGAATTTATTTCCACTGAAGTCTATAGCAAAATTCCCACTCTATTGAGCATGCCAGTGATTAGACCTAATGGGGCACAGCTCCTGGGAAGACAGCAGCTCTTCTCTGGATGGGAGGTGGGGGAATCACATAGATGGTTAACTGCCCCCTTCACTTTTGGGTGGGTGGGAGAAGCCATACTTGGAGAAGTGGTGAAGTCTGTTTTGCAGACAGTGCACAGTATCTATGCTTTGCAAAGGACATTCCCCTGCAGTTTATCTTATGTACAAATTCAGAGTCCTCAGGCTAAGACAGGGCACCTGCCTTCCCACTCCCTCTATGCATGCCTAGAGCTGCCAGGAGAGCAGACTGCTTAGCAGAGACACTAGTTTGGTTCAGCACTAGCAGAAATGCTTCTGGTTGTGACGATCCAATTTTTTAAGTTCCTAAGTATATTACTGTTTGAAAAAAAGAGACCACCCATCATCTAAACATGGACTGTTGGTGGATTATTTCACTGAGTTGATCTATCTAACTCTTTAAAGAAAAGGAAAAAAGTGAGTTTTATTTGCAGTGATGAGACACCACCACCACCTCCCCCCAAACAAACAAACAAACAAACAAATAAAAAAAAAAAAAAAAAGGAAGAAAAAGAAAAGGAGTGAGGGACATTCTTCCAATCAAGTGTTACTCATGTAGTTTCGGTAATGTTTTAAACACACACTGCTTCTAGCTGGTTTTGCCACAATCCCTGTGACTAACGCAGCCAAATTCTGTTCAGCAGCCTCAGTGGAACTGCACAAGCTCTTATCAACTCTGATTTCAGACCAAAACGAATTTTACATCCAGATCTTTTAGCTTGACCAGTAGCCCATTTCAATGTAACCTAGCAGGAAAACACTGCTTAGCACATGCTAAGTAACAGGTTTCTCTGAGATCTCAGACAGAACACCATCAAAGATATGAATTGTCCAGAGAAAACCTTGGCTCAAATACTTATTTTCTGAAAGGAAGGAAAGCCTCAACATTTCACATGTCTAAGAGGGAGTGTGTGTGTGGGGGGGGGAAAGAAGCAAATTAGAACAAGAATAATTCAATCCTATGGAAATGCAGTAACTACAATAATTTGTTGCATTATAAAATCATAGAATGGTTTAGGTTGGAAGGGACCTAAAAGATCACCTAGTTCCAGCCTCCAGGTGTCTTTGCCGTGGGCAGGGATGTCTTTCACTAGACCATGTTGCTCAAAGCCCCATCCAATCAGGCCCTGAACACTTCCAGGGATGGGACAATCACAATGCGCAGTTACCATCACAAAGAATTTCTTCCTAATATCTAAGCTAAACTTACTTTCTTTCAGTTTGAACCCATTTCCTCTTGTCCCATCACTACATGCCCTTGTAAAAAGTCCCTCTCCAGCTCTCCGGCAGGCTCCCTGAGGCACTGAAAAGCTGCTGTAAATTCTTCCTAGAGCAGTTTCTTCTCTGGGCTGAACAATCCCGACTCTCTCAGTCTGTCCTGATAGGAGAGATGCTCCAGCCCTCTGATCAACTTCCCGGCCCTCCTCTGGACTTGCTCCAACAGGTCCATGTCCTTCTTATGTTGGGGACCCCAGAGCTGGATGCAGTACTCCAGGTGTGGTGTCACAGGAGCACAGCAGAGGGGGAGAAGCAAAGCATTCTGTTTAAACACTTAACGTTAAACAAGAGCTGGTTGTTTTAGGGCAGCTAAAAACATGAATGCTTCAGCAACAAACAGCTTCTATCCAAAAAGTTGCCTAAATATGTGACTACTATATTTTCTTACTGATCTTGTACCAAATGTACATGAAAACGAAAATTACGACCCTTTCAGGTTAAGTGATTCATCTTACATTGGCTTGTTCTCTTAAGAGTAGGTAGCACTCAGTAATCTTTTAATTTCAATTTTTTAAGGAAGGTTTTCTTTTCATTCTTTATAAAAATCGACTGTTTTAAACATTTGGGACCTGCAATAGCCTTTGCTTCTATTTTCTTCTAATTTTTATTTAGCTTTCTAATCTTATCTTTATATATTTAGTTATACAAGACCTCAGTAACTGCTGAAACTTTATGTAGTGAATACCCTACACTTTGATACAAAAGAATACGGAAAAACAAGACAAAGACAAAAGATCATGAAACCTGTTTGCCCCAGAGAGGGGCCATAAAACCACATCTTGAAGTATGTAACTCCTCCTTTGGCAGGCAGCAGGCAAAATAGCAATACATGAGTAGCTTGTATAACTGTGTCACCAGGCCTCAGAGACACTCTACATTTCTGAGCACAACCCTTCTACTACCTGAGGTCTAACTCTGCATTCCTTACTGATCACAGAAACTGCTACACAGTTCCCCTGCTGCAGAAAACCCCCTTGGAGCTGTAGAGTCAATACATGTTATCAAGCTCTTTGACTGCTCAGATGCTATTAAATATTTTGGTAGGGTGGGGGTTAGAATTCTTTACCCATGTCAGCCCACAGACTTGCTATGGCATATTTACCAATTTATTTTTTTTTTTAATTTTTTTTCCCCTATCTAATAACTTAGTTATACATGAATCATCTAGCAACAACTTGGTTTCACTTTTCGGTTTCTGGTCACCAGTACTGCTAGATTCCTCCCTGGATGTTGTAAAGTATACTCACTCTCACGTACTGAGAGCGCAAATTAAAGTCACAATCACACGCCACTTACTCTAAAGGAAAGCTTGCAACAACAATTTTAAAATAACTAGGTTTTTTAATATTAAGTACGTATCTGTGTAAACAGACAGGTATCTGTTCATCTTAACATCCTTTACATCTATATATGTTTCAGAAGCTACAGGGGGCTCTAGCTCCCACACAAAAAGGTTAATATGGCCACAGTGTTACCTAGTGAGCTACTCTACGTTCCTTTATGGCGGAAGATACTGCCCAAGGCTTCTGCTATTACAAACAGAAACTCTGGATAATAGATAATGAAGTACTCTGGATAATAGATAATGAAGTAATCTAAAAATATATATTCAGGTTCACAGAAATAGATACAGTTACATGCAAACTCCTTCTGAACAAAGAAATTATATTCAAATTTCAGGTTATTGTTGCTAAATTTATTTTAATAAAAATACCTAATTGCAATTTGCCTTTAAATTATTACAAAACAATGTTAAATTCTACTGTAATATTACATAATTTATATTAAATTAAAATAAACTGCAAATGTTTGATGTCAAAACTGTAAACAAAGTTCAAATACTCAACAGGTAAGTCTTCACTGAGGTACCAAGAACAAGTATTAGGTTTAGAACTAAGTTACCTGAAAGTAGCACCTTTCACTGCCCTTGCAGAGTCTTTGCTCCATTAAGTCACTTAGTGGTGTTTGCTGTAAAGCTGAGAAACTAAGTGGGAATTGGAAAAGCAAGATCATTTGTTTTCCTTCTCATCTGAGAAAACAAAGCAGAGAAGTTTGAATTCTATTAGCTCTAAAAAGTTTGCATTTGGTTAAGCAGAATGGGTTACCATATTAGGGATTATACTTTACTGATCTCTAAGTGTAAACTCTATTTGCATTTACTTGTGTGTACATGTGTGTTTGTACATGAGTGTGGCTTTAATAAATATGACATTTTTAAAGGCCACAATTAAAAAAAAAAAAAGCATCATTTGTCATGTCCTAAATAAAAACTTTTAACAGTCACAATCTAAACCAATGCATGTAAGTCCTGTAATCACTTAGAAAGTGTGCAGGCATTTAGTGCATGCTCTGAACTACCAAAAAGTAGTGCCAAATGTAGTGTAAAG